ATATGGGCAAAATAAATCATTAGCTACTTTCTGGAGTACTGTTAGTATTTTTGAATATTCATGTGGACACTGCTTCTCATAGGTCTAGTAATATTCTATGTTCTGTATTCCATGTCATATCCTGAATGTGTTCTGCTTGCTTATGAGAGTACCTGTTAATAGAAAGTCAAAATAGGACTTAGGGTGAAGCAGTATATGTAAATGCAGAAAAAGTATTTGTTTAATTCATTGTTACCCTTATATGTACTAAAATTTTATCAAAAAATGATAATACAATTTTTCAGACACCTCCTTAGACTTATTGTTGTCATGCCAGATTATTGTCTCCTTAGAGTTTTTATCTTGTCTCTATTGCTAGCAGCAGAAATGTGTTTGCATGCAATAGGGAAACTGTAATTTTTTATTGGTCTTGGGGCTTGAATTCTGGGCCTGGTTCTTGTCCCTCAGCTCTTCAGGTCAAGGTGAGTGCTCTACCACTTGAGTGACAGTGCTACTTTATGTTTTCTGGTTGTTTATTGGAGATAAGTGTCTCATGAACTTTCCTGCCTGGGCTGGCCTTGAACCTAGATCCTCAGACCTCAGCCTCCTCAATAGCTAGGAGGATAAGCCACCAGTGCCCTGCCAATCTATGTGTTTTAATGACCAGGTTTATATTGTCCAATATTTCTAATTTGCTATTTAATTTTGCCAGTGAATAGATAACACAGCAAGCTGCAAACATTTAATGTAAGACAAAAGCATACCTGCAGCATAATGAAATTCCTGATTGGAATTCTCATGACCCAGGTCTAATTTCTTGATGGAAATGTGCCATTACAGAAGCTGATGTCATTTGATGATGTGGCTGTGTACTTCACATGGAAGGAGTGGCAGGATCTGGATCCTGGTCAGCGGACCCTTTACAGAGATGTAATGCTGGAGACCTATAGCAACCTAATGTCCTTGGGTGAGCAAAGGTCACTTTTTCTTGGAAGATCAAGTGCTTTTATTTTAGTAGACATTTGACTGTTTATGTTATCTACGTATAAGATTCCAGTCCATTCCCAGCTAAAAAACTGCTAGTATAAAAGCCAGCCAAATTCAGGTCTGGGAGCTTGGTGTTGTTTGCCTTGCACTACTGCAGAAACCACAACTCCATTTTGGCTTTAGTTTTGGGGTATATTCTGGGTTTCCATGCCCATGTTGGTTTCAAGCCTGCCACTTAAGATCTCATCTCGTCAATGAAGGATTAAAGTTGTAAGCCTTTGAACCATAACATTTTCTAAAAACAAACAAACAAACAAAAAAATTAAAAAAGATTCCAGTCCATGGGAAGTGTCATTTCTTTGTAAGGGAAACTTCAACTTCATTATATGTAACTCAAGAGTTAATTTTATTTTCAGTCTTTAAGATTTCTAATCAATTTTGGACAAAAGTTCTAAACTATGATCCAATAATAGGAGATTGACTTCTCAGACTTGGGATAGTTATTATAGGTGGATCTACAGTCTAGATAAAATATACATTACTACTGACAGTATGATCTGGAAATCAGTAGGTGAAAGTGTGTATTTGTAAGCCAAACTTGACACAGAGTTTAGTGCATCAAGATTGGAATTCTAGATACTGTGGAGGCTGAAATCTGAAGATTTTGGTTTGAAGCCAGCAACTGTGGAAAAGTGACCATGAAACTCTTATCTCCAATTAACCATTCAAAAACTAGAATCGTAGGCAAGACTCAAACTAGGAGAATGCTAGCTTTGAGCAAAAGAGCTGAGTTCAAGCCACACAATGGACACAATAAACTCAAAGCTGGGGGAAACTCCACCATGGAGTTATTAAGAATAGAGAAACCATGGGCTGGGAAGATGGCTCAGGGGTAGACCAATTCCCTTGCATGCTTGAGGCCCTGTGTTCGATATCTCAGCACCACATAAGCAGGGAAATAAAGCTAGAATTGGTGTTGTGGCTCAAGTGATAGAGTGCTAGACTTGTGCTTAAGAGCTGAGAGACAGCTCCCAGGCCCAGAGTTCACGCCCCACAACTCGACGGCCCCCCACAAAAACAATTGAGAAACCAGATTTAGGACCAACCTTGTGAACAGGATGTCTGCGACCTTCCATTAATGATGACCCAGCAAGAGCAATTGTTCTCCACTATTTCTTATTCACAGGGCACTGTGTTCCTAAACCTGAATTGATTGTGAAGCTGGAGCAAGGTGCAGAACCATGGATAAGAGAAACCTCAGACAAGAATTTTACAGGTTGGTTAAAGCATCTTGAATGGTGATGATGGATCCAGAGCCCAGTGGGTCTGTTTATCTTGAGCGGTACGGAGCAATAGTATTCCTAGTGCCCCTGAGTCATGTATGGCAGAGAACTAGTTGATCCTTTGTCTCAAGGAATTGTCAATCCAGAATTCACGTGGAGACACACTGAATTTAGTGTGCCAGTGTACGCAGTGTTAGCAATTCCCTTTTTCTGTAGAGAAGTCATTCATAAAGAGAAAAAGAGAATAAGAAATGTAGAAAGGAGATCTCATTTTCTTTTAAACTAGTATTATGCAGGTAGGAGGAAAATAGGAGTATGCTAGGGCTGCTATCCTCTGATGGGGACAATTTCTTATCAGTGGTGCTGGGCATAGAGGGCAATTCAGAATGGAAGCATGAAGAGTATGGAGATGAATAATTTCAGGAAATATTTCCTGTGAAAACATATAATAATCTAAAATACAGAAAAACATTATTTTGCACTTTAAAATGTCAGTACTACTTTCTTAATTACTACATTGAAGAGAAATGTATATATTCTGCATAAAGCAATGTTTTGATATTTGAAAATCTAGTAACAAAATGTGAGGAAATATCGTTATCGTAAGGAATTTGTGGGTCTCATTTATGCTTTTGTCTATTTTTCTATTATTCATTTTAGATGTCCCAGAAATGGAGGATGTGATTAGCACCTGTCAGGAAATTCACAATAAATATCTCTCTGAAGTAGCAGTCATGAATAGTAACCCAGGGGAGGAAAAAGTGAGACTGATAAAAAGTTTTCATTTGAGCTCCATACAGAAGTCAGAACTGATTAAGAATAATGGGAACTCCTTAGGGATGAGGATAGAAAAGGTCACTGGGTGGCAGAAAATGGGTGTTTTCAGTGAACCTGGTAAGATGTGTGCTGCCTATAGTCCTCATGTGTCTTCTGTAGTTGAAGAATATAAACAATGTGAAAAGTCTTTCACTGAGAAGACACACACTGTTGTCCCTCAGAGAACACACACAACAGAGAAACCTCATGAATGTAATGTGTGTGGAAAGTCTTTCACCAAGAAATCAAAGCTTACTGTCCACCAGAGAACACACACAAAAGAGAAACCTTTTCAATGCAACATTTGTGGAAAATCTTTCACCTGCAAGGCATATCTTACTAGACACCAGAGAACACACACTGGAAAGAAAATTTATGAATGTAACTTATGTGGAAAGTCCTTCTCCTGGAAGTCAACTCTCACTGTCCATCAGATAACACACACAGGAAATAAACCTTTTGAATGTAACGTGTGTGGAAAGTATTTCATCCAGAAATCAAAGCTTACTGTTCACCTGAGAACACACACAAAAGAGAAACCTTTTGAATGTAACATTTGTGGAATGTCTTTCTCCTGCAAGGCATATCTTACTAGCCACCAGAGAACACAAAAAGGAGAGAAACCTTATGAATGTAACATGTGTGGAAAGTCTTTCTCCTGCAAGGCATATCTTACTAGCCACCAGAGAACACAAAAAGGAGAGAAACCTTATGAATGTAACATGTGTGGAAAGTCTTTCACCATGAAATCAAAGCTTACTGTCCACCACAGAACACACACAGGAGAGAGACCTTATGAATGTAACCTGTGTGGAAAGTGTTTCACCCAGAAATCAAATCTTACTGTCCACCAGAGAACACACACAGGAGAGAAAATTTATGAATGTAACTTGTGTGGAAAGTCCTTTACCTGGAAGTCAACCCTCACTGTCCATCAGATAACACACACAGGAAAGAAACCTTATGAATGTAATGTGTGTGGAAAGTCTTTCACCAAGAAATCAAAGCTTACTGTCCACCAGAGAACACACACAAAAGAGAAACCTTTTCAATGCAACATTTGTGCAAAATCTTTCACCTGCAAGGCATATCTTACTAGACACCAGAGAACACACACTGGAAAGAAAATTTATGAATGTAACTTATGTGGAAAGTCCTTCTCCTGGAAGTCAACTCTCACTGTCCATCAGATAACACACACAGGAAAGAAACTTTTTGAATGTAATGTGTGTGGAAAGTATTTCATCCATAAATCAAAGCTTACTGTTCACCTGATAACACACACAAAAGAGAAACCTTTTGAATGTAACATTTGTGGAATGTCTTTCTCCTGCAAGGCATATCTTACTAGCCACCAGAGAACACACAAAGGAGAGAAACCTTATGAATGTAACATGTGTGGAAAGTCTTTCGCCAGGATGGCATACCTTACTGTCCACCAGAGAACACATACTAGAGAGAAACCTTATGAATGTAACATGTGTGGAAAGTCTTTCACCAAGAAATCAAAGCTTACTGTCCACCACAGAACACACACAGGAGAGAGACCTTATGAATGTAACCTGTGTGGAAAGTGTTTCACCCAGAAATCAAGTCTTACTGTCCACCAGAGAACACACACAAAGAGAAACTTATTGAATGTAAGATTTGTGGAAAGTTTTTCACCCACAAGGAATATCTTACTACCCACCAGAGAACACACACAGTAGAGAAAATTTATGAATGTAACTTGTGTGGAAAGTCCTTTACCTGGAAATCAACCCTCACTGTCCATCAGATAACACACACAGGAAAGAAACCTTATGAATGTAATGTGTGTGGAAAGTCTTTCACCAAGAAATCAAAGCTTACTGTACACCAGAGAACACACACAAAGAGAAACCTTTTCAATGCAACATTTGTGGAAAATCTTTCACCTGCAAGGCATATCTTACTAGACACCAGAGAACACACACTGGAAAGAAAATTTATGAATGTAACTTATGTGGAAAGTCCTTCTCCTGGAAGTCAACTCTCACTGTCCATCAGATAACACACACAGGAAAGAAACCTTTTGAATGTAACGTGTGTGGAAAGTATTTCATCCAGAAATCAAAGCTTACTGTTCACCTGAGAACACACACAAAAGAGAAACCTTTTGAATGTAACATTTGTGGAATATCTTTCTCCTGCAAGGCATATCTTACTAGCCACCAGACAACACACAAAGGAGAGAAACCATATGAATGTAACATGTGTGGAAAGTCTTTCGCCAGGATGGCATATATTAATGTCCACTGGAGAACACATACTAGAGAGAAACCTTATGAATGTAACATGTGTGGAAAGTCTTTCACTAAGAAATCAAAGCTTACTGTCCACCAGAGAACACACACAAAAGAGAAACCTTTTCAATGCAACATTTGTGGAAAATCTTTCACCTGCAAGGCATATCTTACTAGCCACCAGAGAATACACACAGGAGAGAAACTTCATGAATGTAATGTGTGTGGAAAGTCTTTCACCCAAAAGGGTAACCTTACTGCCCACCACAGAACACACACAGGAGAGAGACCTTATGAATGTAACCTGTGTGGAAAGTGTTTCATCAAGAAATCAAAGCTTACTTGCCACCAGAGAACACACACAGGAGAGAAACCTTATGAATGTAACATGTATGGAAAGTCTTTCACCAAGAAGTCATACCTTACTTGCCACCAGACAACACACACAAGAGAGAAACCTTATTAATGTAACATGTGTGGAAAGGCTTTCACCTGGAAGTAAAACTTCACTGTCCATCAGGAAACACACATGAAAGAAACCTTATGAATGTCATATGTGTGGAAAGATTTTCAGCTAGAAGCTCCACCTTACTGTCCACCAGAGAGCACACACAGGAGAGAAATTTTATGAATGTAACCTATGTGGAAATTCTTTCACCCAGAACATACACCTTTCTGTCCATCAGAAAAAAACCCACCAGAGAGAAATGTTATGTATGTAGTAGGCATGGAAATTCTTTCATCTGGAAGGCAAACCTTAACATCCATCACAGAACACAAGGAGAGAAACCTTATGAATGCAACCAGTGTGGAAAGACCTGGAGTTCACAGCTTAACAGACATAAGTTGATTCACACAAATGAAATAACTTAGGATTGTACCAAATGGGGAAAGTCTTTGATCTGTAAGAAAATTGAAATTGCAATACAGAACCAATACAGGATAGAGACCTTATGATATAGCAGATGTGGAGTCCTCCAACTACAAGACACAGCTCAGAGTATATCACAGAACACCCAAAACACACAGAAACACAGACACATACTCTCACACACAAAGAGGAGAGATATCATATGTAGGAAAAAATGGAAAGGTTTTCAAGAAAAAGTCCTAACTCAGTTTCCATCAGAGAACAGACACAGATGAGAAAATACAAATATATCAAATGTGGAAAGTCCTTTACTAAGTATTCATAGATCCAAGTTCATATAACACCGAGCAGAGAAATCTTAAAAATATTACAAATGTGGAAGGTCTTTGACCTGAAAGGAATACCTCAGTGTTTATCAGAGAACTGACTCACATAGGAGAAAAGAAAGTAGTGCATAGAACATATGTGAAATGACTTTCAATCAGAACTGAGTCCTCAGCATATGTGAGATCATACACAGGAGAGAAATTATGAGTATAGAAAACATTTTGCCAGAATTCTTATTTGTACAGGTATCAGAGACCTGGACACATGACAGAATTTCTGTAAATATAAACATGAGAGGAAGTCTTTCAACCAGAAGCCAACCTTCAGCAATTATTAAAATATTCACCCAGGAAAGAAACCCAATGTAGGAAAATCTTTGTCAGAAAACCTCTGTAAATTATACAGAGAAATTCTTCATGGCAGAGGTCAGTTAGGGGTGATGGAAACCATTCTTCACTCTTCAGCTCTCTTTGAGCCAACATTTGTCATTATGTTGAGTGGGGATGGTGTCCTTCAATGTTATCCAAAGCATGTAGAAACAACCAGTCTCGACAAATCATTAAGAAATTGAAATAATTCACTTGTGTCTTTTATACTAAGGAATGGTGTGTCAAGGTAATTTGATAAACTCTTCTTAGAAATATGAGTTCTAGCCCTTTGGGACTGGATTCAGATCATCTCCAACATGCTTATGGGAACAATAGATGAGTAAATACTGTTATGATTGGAGGCAAGAACATGAGAACAACCATATTTCTACTGCTCCCTTAAATCTCCCTCTGTATGTGTGATCCATGCGTTATAGTACAAATGACTTACTTATTCCAGTTCAGTTTTTTTTTTTTTTTTTGTCGGTAGTGGGGCTTGAACTCTGGGCCTGGGCGCTGTCCCTCAGCTCTTCAGTTCAAGGCGAGCGCTCTACCACTTGAGCTACAGTGCCACTTCCGGTTTTCTGGTGGTTTATTGGAGGTAGGAGTCTCATGGTCTCTCCTGCCCGGGCTGGCTTTGAACCGCGATCCTCAGATCTCAGCCTCCTGAGTAGCTAGGATTACAGGCGTGAGCCACCAGCACCCGGCGCAGTTCAGTTTTTGAATGGAAGATCTAAAGGAAGATATTAGTCCTTATTGCAGTACATAAATAGTAGTAATGTCTTTCTCAGAGGGGTAACAATGCTCAAAAGGAAATGTATTCATGACCTAACTCATAATGGTATAACCAATCTGTACAGTATGTTTACAATAAAATATATATTTAAAAATATGATAGATTAATAAAGACTAGAATCTGCATTGTACCTTGGGGGAGAACCCCAAAGTGTCTTCAGTGCTTGCTCTTTTCTTTAATTAATCATTGGTGATGAGCAACTTGTGATTGATTCACTCTTAGCCTATTTAGTTGTTCTGCTGAGCAAGCTATTACAAAACACCAGTGTGGATGATGTGTCGCACCTGTGTTATCTCATAGAGGGCCAAAGTGGATAGGATATTAGGGGAAATAATTGAGCACACAAAGATATTGATCAACCTCTCACAAAAATTGAAGTTAACAAAAAAATAAAACCATCTGCCACTTGAGTTACAGCATCACTTCTAGGCCCTGAGAGGAAGGAAGGAAAGAAGGAAGGAGGGCAGGCAGGAAGGAGTGATGTGAGAGAGGGAAAGAGGAAGGGAAGGAATGAGGAAGAAGGAAGAAATAAACTATTCAAAAGAAGAATGTTTAATTTTTGGTGAATGTGAGAATTATTTTTTCAGAGGTGGGGCTCAAGAAAAATGGCTTTTACAAAAGTTAATTCTTGAACTGTTTACAAAACTATAAGGAGGCTGTAACATTTTATAAATTGACTTAATATTTCAAGAATATTAAGTAAGGAGGTCAGGTGTGGCTGGTGCCCTATTGGGCACATGGTGGATGGTGGGGTCTGGCATCTTGTCTTCATGCAGGGGCAAGGAATACCTCCTTCATCACTTGCCACGCAACTGATAGGTGTGGCTGGTTCCCTGGAAGCAGGGGTGAGAATTTGGTTGATATGTTACTCAATCTCTTAGTCCAGTGACTGGGACTGGAATTTCCTGTGGACCTGCCTCCTGCTTAGGCCCTATTTAGGCTGGACCAGCAGTGGCACTAGATGCTATGCTACATGTCTCTGTGATCATGTCCTGTGTCCTGTCTCCTGGCTTTTCTCTGGTCATCATAGTGTGCCAATTCAGCACTCTTTTCCTGCTGATTGGTTTCTTGGTGTTGTTTTAATTCTTTTTATTTCTTTTCCTTTCTGTCCTGTTAGCAAGCTGTCTATTTGTGGACTGCAAGTCCTTGTTACAACAGGCTGCTTGCAGACTGCTAGCTGTGTAATAAACACTGCAGTATTCCATCTTCCATAATGTGGCTTCCAACAAATGTACTGTCTTCTTTTACAGAAACACAAAGGTTGACCTAAATTTAGAATTTCTAGAGCCAAGGTAGATACCACTGTATAGTTATGTAATTAAAGATATCCATGAGGCATTCAGAAAAAATGTCTGTTACATCAGAAAGTGCTTAATTAGTAAACCAAGACCAAGACTCCATATGCTATATAAGCCAGTCATTCTACATATGTCCACAGCTGTTTTGTTACATGAAGGGCTCTATTTTCACACTTTCATGAAGAAATGTTTTTGTGCCAATATGAGGTCTTCAACTCAGGAACTGAGTTGAAGCCAACGAGAGCTCCTAGGAATCTAAAAAGCTAGGAATCAAAGCATGAGCCCTGTGGGCTGGTCTGAAGAAATCTCTCTCTGCGAATAAGAGGTTTCATTTAGTGCTTCACCCCAGGCTTCCTGTGCCTTCAACAATTTTAATTGTTCAAAGAGAATCCTTAAATCCTGGCCAGGATTCCATTTACAAGATAAGGACGGTGGACTTCACATTGCCAGATTTAGCTAGGTTGCTAGCTTACCCCCTCCCCTCACACTGTTCACCCATCTGCTTATCTACTGAGGCCTAGTAAAGAAGGAAAAATAGGGGGATTAGGAGGCCCTTGGCCTTTCTACTTGTACCATACACACACACATACACAAACACCAGCTATTTGGATATAGTTCATTGTCCCATTTTTACAAACTGGATGCTTTCCGATAAAGGATGGTTCATGGACCAGAGTCCCTTCTACCTAGGCCTGTCATATAGCTGTCATTAAAACTCATGAACCAACATACCACATTCAAAGTAGCCCTGATGATAACATTTAATTTTTGATTTTATCACTTTTGTTATTATCATTTGGCTAATAGTTTTGCTTGAGCTCAAAATTTAAGGAACTTGCTGCTCACTGAATTGGTAAAATACCTTTTCCTTCTTTTAGTTTAAAATCAGCAATTAAAAATGAGCAATTACAGTCCCTCGTGTGGAATCTTAGCTACTCAGGAAGCTGAAAGTACAAAGGTAGTATTTGTAGGCCATCCCATGCAAAAGCTTCATGAAAATGGTATCTTAGCCAAGAAAAGGATGGATCTGGTCATATGTGCCTATCTTGTTTGCTACTTGTGATATGTAATTATTACAATTAGTGTGTTGAAAGGCCTAGACAAAGAAACAAGGCCCTAAGGTGCAAAATGAGTGATACAAAAGGGCATCTGGTATAGAAGGTAAAGGAAGCCTCACAAATTTTTGCCTCTGAATTCAACCTGAGGACCACTAATATGATCTGTGAAAACAATGCATTCTTCCAAATATTTAGTGGAAGAATTTGGATGTGGTTTACAGAATGATAGGTAAACAGTCCTTTACTGAGATTGCAAAAGGACCTTTGCATATGTCTATATGATGTTATGAATTTTATATCCTATTCTGTGGAAACCATGAGTCCTGCTTGGATCAAGTAGTTAAGATCTCCTGATCTAACGGGGCACTGGTGCTTCACATCAGAATTCTTAGTTGCTCAAGAATATGAGGTTTAAAATCACAATTGAAAGGCCAACTAGGTAGTAAAGGCTGTGAGACTGTTATTGCCAATTATCATGAAATTTCCCACAATTAGTGCTGTTAATCATGCTGATAGGTTGTCATCACATTTGTTCCTTTATTACAAAATCTGAGGGACAGTTCCCAGACCCTGAGTAGAAAGAACTCCAAGGCCAGGGAAGATATTTTGTAAAAATGGGTTCTTTGGCCTTCATGCAGGAAAGTTTCCAATCCTATAGAAACCTATAATACTCCATAGGATATAGTCATTGTCCCTCAATTGAAGTTGATATTGAAATGTCTTATAAGCGTGGGTAATGATAAATTGTCACAAATAATTTGATACCTTTTGTCATGTGAATGCACATGCAC